CCCCAAAACCCCAAAACCCCAAAACCCCAAAACCCCAAAACCCCAAAACCCCTTCCATTTGCACAAGTATGGAAAGATTAAGGCTATTAATAAATAATAATAGAAAATGTTAGCATCTACCTTAAGAAGATCTGTTAAAAAGAACAACTTCACAGTAACTCTAAGAACCTTCTGTTGCACTACTCAATATAAAGGCTTGAAGTACGACAACTGTAACTTCGAGGTTAAGGAGTACGGAGTTGGATTGGTCACCATCAATAGGCCAAAGGCTCTTAATGCTCTCTGTGATGCTCTCTACCAAGACCTCCATGATATCATCACTAAGATGGATAAGGACGAAAAAATCGGAGCCATTGTACTCACTGGTAGCGATAGAGCTTTTGCTGCTGGAGCTGATATTAAGGAAATGAGCGACAAGATTTACCCAGCAACTTACAGCACAGACATGCTCGCATGGTGGGAGAACATTGCTAAGGTCAGAACTCCAACCATTGCTGCAGTTAATGGATTCGCTCTTGGAGGAGGATGCGAACTCGCCATGATGTGTGATATCATCCTTGCAGGAGATAAAGCCCAATTCGGGCAACCAGAAATTAAACTAGGAACTATCCCAGGAATGGGAGGATCTCAAAGATTCACAAGAGCCGTTGGTAAGGCCAGAGCTATGGAAATGATCCTTACTGGAGATTTCATGAAAGCTGATGAAGCCTGAACTAGAGGACTTGTATCCAGAGTTGTTCCATCAGAAGAGCTCGTTGACGATGCCTTAAAGACTGCAAAGAAGATCGCTGGAATGTCGAGACCAATAGCACTTTTAGCTAAGGAAGCTGTCAATGCTGCCTTCGAGACAACTCTCGATACCGGTCTGAGATTCGAGAGAAGACTCTTCCACTCCACTTTCGCTACTCAGGACCAGAAGGAAGGTATGAGTGCTTTCTCAGAGAAGAGAACTCCAGCATGGAAGCACAAGTAAATCGATTGATTTCTATAAAGATTTGCTTAAAAGGGGTTTTGGGGTTTTGGGGTTTTGGGGTTTTGGGG